TTGCTTTGAAATTATATGGGGATATAAATAATGAGTGAAGTGAAAAAAAATGAAAAGAAAAAAGAATGATGAAAAAATAAGAAAATGAAAAGAAAAAAAAATGTGAAAAAGAAAAGAAAATGAAGGCTCAAATTGAAAACCCGAAAAGATAATTTAGGTAAAAAAATTCGTGTAAAAAATATCAATGTCAACTGATGATTCTGCTAAATTGGGGTGAGGTTTGATAAGCTTAATAATTTGGAAACTCAATGGAGTGAGTTTTTGAGAAAGAATTCTATATTAGAATTCAAAATTACCTGAATATTCATTATTTGGATGTTGATATCGCACCCAAACAGTTACAGTTATTTGTTTTTATTCATTTTTTATTTGTTCTTAGTCAGATTTCTTTTATTCCCTTTAATAATAAATACTCTTTTTTTTCTAATTTTTCTTGTTCTTTACTAACTTTTGTATCCCTAGAACCAATTGAGGAAATGTATGATTGTATTATACTTATCATGAAATTGAAATGATGATTAATAAATGAATGATAATGTTCATAAAAGATTTTTGCATTCATTTGAAAAGAAATCCAAGATGACAAATAGAAAAAGAAAATGAAATGAGAAAGATGAAAGAAACATGAGAAAATATTTTACGGATATGATGACCAAGTGATGAAAACAGCAACGGATCAATCAATAGAGTTTGTAAGTTTTGAGCAAATGATGGAAATGGTAATGGATCAGTTATTTAAATTTATGAGTTAATTTTGAAATTATTAGTATTGAGAAGCTGAAAAGAAAAATTATAAATGATGAAATTAAAAAAAGATCATAGGGTAGTTATGATCACCTAACAAATTGAAAAAGAAAGATTTGAGAACTTGAAGAATGAAGACACTAGAATGATCTTGAGAACTTTTTTTGCCACAATTAGAATTGCATTCACAAACATTGGATTCATGCATTGCATTCATAAACATTACACTAATGTAATTTGTTTGGTAAGAAGTTATGATCTTGGATTTTGAAATAGTGAGAATGTGAAATATTTTTACTTGATAAGTTTTTCTAAATATGAGATTTTAATCCTTGTTGGAGGTTAATTTTCGAAGATAGGATTTTGATTTCTGAAGAAAAATTTTTTAAAAAATGAGTAAAGTAATAATCCTCGATTGAGGAAATATTTTGCAAAAATAAAGCCTTTTAATGAGATTTTGATCCTTGTATAAGGAAAACTTTGTGAAGATAAAGGTTGAAACCTTTAGATGAAGAAAATGATTTCGAGAAGAGTTGGTAAACCTTGGTTAAGGAACTCTTCCAATTTTTAAAGTTTCATAGCTTTTATTTAGAAAAGTTTTTTCATTTCAAGGTAAGAATCTCTGATGCGAATCCTTGAAAATTGAATTTTAGATTTGAACATTTCTATTACGAATCTTTGAATCTTGGATGTAAATCTCTAAGATTTTCAAATATGAATATTTGAATCCTTGATGCAAATCTCGAAGAATTATATCAATCTAAAGAACCTTTCGGTGAAAATCTTGAATCTTCAATTTGAATATTTGAATGAACCTTGATCTCTTTCAAATAAGAATATTTTTTTATTTTAAAAGTTGTTGAGCTTCTGATAAGAGGAGCTTTTTTTTATATTTTTCAAAATTGTTAGGCCTTTGTCCACGAGGTTTTATCAGGATAAGATTTTAAAATTATTAAGAAAATCTTTTTAAATGTGAATCTTTGATGAAAATCTCAAAAATTTTTCAAATGCGAACTTTTGAATCTTAGATATAAATCTCTAAGATTTTCGAATGAGAACCTTAATCTTGGATTTAAATTTTTAAGAGTTTCAATTGCAAATCTTTGAATTCTTTGTGAATTTTTTAATCCTAAATTTTTACGAATTTTGAATTTTTGCAAACCTTGAAACTTGCAAATCTTTGAACTTTTACAAATTTTTAAATTTTTACGAATTTTTGAATCTCTTACAAATCTTGAATCTTATGTGAATCTTTGAATCTTTGCGAATCTTAAGTATTTTGTGAATCTTTGAATCTTAAAATTTTGTAAATCTTAAATCACTTGCAAATCTTGAAACTTGTGAATCTTTGAACTTTTTCAAAATTTTGAATTTTTACGAATATTTGAATCTCTTGTGAATCTTTGAATTTTTACGAATCTTGAATCTTTTGCAAATATTTGAATCTTAAATCTTGAATCACTTGCAAATATTGAAACTTGCAAATCTTTGAACTTTTGTGAATCTTTGAACTTTTGCAAATTTTGAATCTCTTGTGAATATTGAATCACTTGCAAATCTTGAAACTTGTGAATCTTTGAACTTTTGCGAATCTTAAAATTTTTACGAATCTTGAATCTCTTACAAATCATTGAATCTTTGTGAATTTTGAATCTTTTACGAATCTTTGAAATTTTTTGCGAGTCTTGAATCACTTGCAAATCTGAAATCTCTTGTGAATTATTGAACTTTTTGTGAACCTTAAACTTTTGTGAATTTTTTAATTCAGTTTATTCATGAATCTTTGAACTTTTGGGAGAATGTTAAATGTTTTTCACGCCTTTAAATTAAAATCGAGAGTTTTTGAATTTAATTACGAAGTTCTGAACTTCAAGTTGAGAATTCTTGAATTTCAAATTATGAATGTTTAAATTTTCAATTGTGAACTTTTGAATTTCAGTTACGAATTGTAAATTTTTATTGTAAATGAGAATCTTTAAATTTTTTCTCTGTATCAAATTCAGACATAATAAATGTCTATATTTTTATACAATTCTTGTTTCATAAAAAATTCACAAAGATATAATATTGTAAAAACTTTATAATTTAATATATGTAAAATAAAATTAGTCAACAGTAATAAATATCTTTACTAGTTATTAACAATAGAGAGAATGCTTTTCAATTTTTAATATGCTTGTTTTGATTGTGGAGATTGTTATTTTCGCTATCAAAATTATAGCCTTAATAGGGTGGTTAATGATGAAAAAGAGAGGAAAAAAGGTGTAATCTTTGAAGTTAAAAGTCATTTCGTAATATACGTTTGTATAGAAAATGGTGGGGGCCTTGCTTTGTCGCACGTCCAAGATTTCTCCATGATTAGAAATGAGAAAATGAGAAGGTTGATATCAATAATGGTTGGTAAATAGCATCTAGCTAGCAGTCATAATCATCGATCAAGTTGAAATAAACTATGCCTTTGCTATCCAATAAAATGAACCTTTGAAGAATCAAAAACTTAATGTTTACGTTGATGCCATGATTAATGAGCTCCATGCAAGAAAAAAAAAAGGTTAAAGTTGACAAACCTCAATTAAATCTTCTTCAGTTATATAGGAGGATCTTTTTCAATAAATCATATCATACATATGTGCTTGTCAACTTAATTGCATGAGGTTGAAAAAGCTATGGATATCAATAGAATATAGCTTAATATAATTGTGTCACATTGCATATATTAAAATCTTAAAAATAAAACATAAGATTTAACTTAGTCTATTTATGCAAGTGATATCCAATAAATTTATAATATTTTTTATTTTAAAATTGTGATCTCTTTTGTAAAAAAAAAAATTATAAATGATAACTATAAGATAATACATAAGTGGTATAAATTTGTATCACATTTAAATAAAAATAAGAAATTAATTAAAAGAAAATAATTATTCAAATATAATTGTCATATATATAAGAAAAATCATAATCCCTATGTCCCATTTTCTTTGTCTATCCTTTTTTTTTTTTTTGAGATATCTCAAAATTATGTCCTATTTTTTAAAATCTAAATTTCTTATTTTTTTTATATTTTAAAATTATTTTTTATGATTTTTTTATTTTTTGACATTAAAAATCATAGAATTTTAATTTTACAAAAAAAAATTAAAATTTTAATATTAAATACGTTAAAATCAATAATTTTTTAAACTTCATAAAAATCTATATATAACAAATATTTTGAGACAAAAAAAGCATAGTTTATCATCCACAAAGTTAAAACTTTAATTCTTTTAAAGTATTAGTACTTGCTTTTGTATTAAGTCACATATTTTGATTTTTTTAAAAATAAATAATATTAATAATAATAAAACTAATATTTAAGCAATGTGAGGTTTCATTCATGTTTTTTTTTTCTTGGGGAAATATATATTCCTATCCAAAAAAAAAAAAACCAAGCAAAGGCCTCTCACTCTGTTTGACTGTCCTAACCACATTGGCCCGCTTCTGGTTGGTGTTCTGCCCATTGACAGTGCTTTTGGGCTATGCCGCAGTTATCACAGTTAGACCTTTGACTCCGCTGTTTGCATGAAACTTCATTTCACCCCCAAAAATAAAATTATATGAAATAGTTATTTGACGTTTATATATATATTTTATGTAAATCATATCTCATAATTATATTAATAAAAAATTAATTATATAATACATTGAAATAAATATTTATTATTTAATCATTATATATATTATATAATAAATAAATAATTTTTTTAATAACATAATTACATAACACAATTTAAATGAAAAAATATGTATACGGACATCAAATACCTGTTTCATAAAATCATATCTCCGTCCTTTGTCAGATGCGAACCAAATCCAATAAAATTATATTATATGGGATTTTTTTTTTGCTCTGTTAACCAACATAAAATCACTGACAGTTAATATTGTTAAAAAAGTTAAAAGTAAAACTTCCTTCCACTCATAATTAGTTTTTAATTACTGTAAAAAAAAAAAAAGGGGCAGCAATTGCTCCTTTATTCGCATTTATATATTGGCTATCAGAATAAAGAAAACAGATGCAGCAAAAAGCTTTGATCATCAGAAAATAATGTTACGAATTTGAAATTTTTCTTTGTGAAAGGCAAACACTTTCTTAAGTGTAAATCCCATCAATTATTTGCCGCTTTCCGCTCTTTTGGCTTAAAAGGTTATAGAAGGATTCATCTAAATTGGTTAGAGCATAAACGTAAGCTTATTGGCTAATTCTAATTCAAAGCTATTTACTAAAGCTTTTTCCATCAAAGCCAACTGCCCACAAGTGACTTAAAAACTCCAGAAATGGAATTTGCTTTTCAGAAAACGAAAGTAGATATCTGATTTCTTTCTTGGGAAACCAAGCAAGTTATTCAAACAAAGAAAGAGAGAAGGAGCCAGGAGAGGATCTGAGGAAGGAGGAGTCGGTCTCCATGCCTGACTCAGAGCATATTTTCTTGTTTCTTCCTTCTATCTTATCTCTGATTCTGGTCTTCATACTCATCAAGAGAAAGCAAAGGAGATTCAATCTTCCACCAGGGAACATGGGGTGGCCTTTTGTCGGAGAAACAATCGGTTACTTGAAGCCTTACTCTGCTATATCAGTAGGAGAATTCATGCAACAGCACATATCAAGGTAAAAAATTGAACTTTCCCAATTAGAAAACCAAGAAAAGTAAAGCAAAATCTTGCTTTTGTTTCCACTTTCAATTAATAACATGCAGGTATGGGAATATCTACAAATCAAATTTGTTTGGCGAGAAAACAATAGTCTCTGCCGATGCTGGGTTGAACAAGTTCATATTACAAAACGAAGGAAGATTATTTGAGTGCAGCTATCCAAGAAGTATTGGTGGCATTCTTGGGAAATGGTCGATGTTGGTTTTAGTTGGAGACATGCACAGAGACATGAGAATTATATCACTAAACTTCTTGAGCAACGCCAGGCTGAGGACTCATCTGTTGAGAGAAGTAGAGAAGCATACCTTGCTTGTTCTGAGTACTTGGAAAGAGAACTGTAAATTTTCAGCTCAGGATGAAGCAAAAAAGGTAAAAAAAAAAAATCGCGAAAGTTGTATATAGCCAAGAAAAATTGGGTAGCTTATCTTTTAAAGGAATTTGTTTTGCAGTTCACTTTCAATTTGATGGCAAAAAATATTATGAGTATGGACCCTGGACATCCTGAAACTGAGCAGCTCAAGAAAGAATATGTTACTTTCATGAAAGGAGTTGTTTCAGCTCCTTTAAATTTACCTGGAACTGCTTATAGAAAAGCCTTACAAGTAAACTATCAAATTAATCCCAGATATACTTTTTTTTTTAAATATGGGTTCTAACTCATGAATCTGATTGTTTAGTTTTGTTTCTTGTTCTGCTTTTTACAGTCTCGATCAACTATTCTGAAATTTATTGAGAGAAAAATGGAAGGGAGGAAAAGGAAAATGGAGGAGGGAGAAGAAAATATTTCAATGGAAGATGATCTTCTTGAATGGGTTTTGAAGGATTCAAATCTTTCGACAGAGCAAATCCTTGACTTGATTCTGAGCTTGCTTTTTGCTGGACATGAAACTTCATCTGTAGCCATAGCCTTAGCCATCTACTTCTTGCCAGGTTGTCCCATGGCCATTCAACAGTTGAGAGTAAGCAACTACCGACCATTTCTCTAACAGTGCAATCTTTCTTTTCCGTACAATTCAACTGCTTTGATTGATCATTTTCTTTTATAATTTCAATTAAACACAGGAAGAACACCTTGAAATTGCCAGAGCCAAGAAGCAATCAGGGGAGATAGAACTCAACTGGGATGATTACAAGAAAATGGAATTCACACAATGCGTATGCTCTTTTAAGTGACCTTAAATCTACATTCTTTTGGGTCATTTAATATGATCAAGATCATATTAATTTTTTCTTTTTCTTTTTTACTTTGTAAAGGTTATCAGTGAGACACTTAGGCTTGGAAATGTTGTCAGATTTCTCCACAGAAAAGCTCTCAAAGATGTTCGGTATAAAGGTAAGTTTAAGATAATAATCTTATATATACTTTATTTGTGTTGATAAGTAGCTGTTACTGGCTTAATCAAGCAGCTAATTTGAAAATGGAATTTGAAACTTTTTTTTTTAATTTTTCTGTGTGCTGGAAAAGGGTATGATATTCCATGTGGCTGGAAAGTGCTTCCGGTGATTGCAGCTGTGCACTTGGATCCCTGTCTTTTTGACCAACCTCAACACTTCAATCCGTGGAGATGGCAGGTCAGTCTACTTAATTAAGAGATCATGCCTTTGTAATAATTATTCTTGATTTATTTTAATATTTAGATTTTTTTTTTCATTTCTGTAAATTTGCACCTGTAATATTTAGATATTCCTTGGGATACCAAAAAATAAATAATCAAACTAATTTTTGAAAAATGATAATAACCAAAGAAAAAAAAAAAGATAAGAGTATGAAACTTTGCTCATAACTCTTGACTCAGTCAATCTTTATCACTATTTTGTAAGGAACTGAGATCAATCATGTAGTCCTGAAAGAAAAGAAATATATCTTACTAATATGAAGATGCGTCTTAAGTCTAAACTCCTCTGCTTGATTTTAAATAGATAAATGTGATTAAAAATAGAAAAAAAATTATATATACACATAATTATTATATAAATTTGATAGGCAAATGAAAACATAAGAATTAAATTAAAATATAAAAGAAAAAAAAGTGCATATGTGTTCGAACTATGTTTAAAATATATATACAGCGATAGTATTGGAGATTTTGGCCTGATAATTAGTAAAAGTATTTTTTAGGTTGATGATTAAATTTTTGTTTCAAAATACATATTAAAAATATAAAGTCCTAAAAAAAACTAAAATATTAATTTGAGACATATATGTTATGCAAACACAAGATAGGTGGTCACAATTAATTATGAGGAGCATAGCATAGATTTGGTGATCTACAAATAAATTCATTTGGACATTAATACCTTCCTTTTTTTTTTTTTTTTTTTGAAAAACATTCTTGAGGAATGATAGCATTGACCAAAAGCTCTCTTCTTTTTTGGTAAAATCTGAATAGAAAAATTTTTCATCATTGTTAGCAGCGTGGGAATTTTTAGGAATTGATAATTCGTATAAACATGTAAATCATGTGGGGTATATATATATATATAGTTCAAGTTCCATCAAAGCCGTTGATTACTGTCGCATCAGGTTAAGGCAAATAAGCATAGGAAAATTTCTGAAAGAGAAAAACTATGATCCAACGGATCGTCTAAACACATGAACTGTCATGATCAATGAACCGTTGTTGCGATGCTGTTCAGACGTAGGTCCCTTCAAGAAAAAAATGGAAAATTTGAGCAAAAACCCAGTAAATGTAAAGCAGACCAGACCAGCTCTTAGGGGTTTGGGGTCGTCCAGCCTCTACTCTCGTGCGTGTAGGGAGGTGTGGGGTTTTAAGATTATGATTAAAGCCCCCATGTGGCTGTGGGGTTCTCGCATGCACGTGCAGGGGGGGTGTCCTTTTTGCCATCTGGTGGTGGGTCAATTACAGTTCATAGACTGGTCCAATTAAAAAATTACAAACAAATTAAATATTGTCAGTAATTAAACGGAAAAAAAAAGTCTAAAAGATTAATATTTACCCAGATGGTTAAAGAGAGCAAGGAACCATACAAAATTGTACCAAAGTTGATAGAATGACTAATCTCAGAAGAATTTTTTTTTTTTTGGGGGGGGGGGGGGACACGTTCCATACATTTTTTTTTTTTTTTTGTGTTTTGCTACAAATACGTGCAAGTTTGGTACATTTAGATATTTTCTCATAAAGTTTCTTACTTAAAATCTTCCTCCTGCCATTATCAATCATGATTGTTACATACAATAGTCGACAGGGACTGTTATTTTGTTAAAAACATCAGTGTGCATGAATTGTATCGGTCCCCGTCCAATCAAATTCAATTTACATTTTTAAAGGCCGACCAATAGTGCATCGTATTGCATTTTGCATTACACGGATGATCAACCATGAATTTAATTAAGTTTATTTGTTTGTCAATCCGAAAGCGGCTTCAAAAAAGGTTATGATATATACAATATTCCTTTTGTTATCTTAATTTCATGCTTGCATCTTTCTTGGTGTAATTCTTTAACTGCTTAAGTAGATTATTGAACTCTCTTTGTTGATCTGGTATTCATTTTGATATTTAGCAAAATAATGGTAATCGTGGGACGACGTCGTCTACTTCATGCCCGACCACGACGACAAGCAGCAATCACTTCATGCCATTCGGGGGAGGACCACGGCTATGTGCAGGATCTGAACTGGCTAAACTGGAAATGGCCGTTTTCATCCACCATTTGGTCCTCAACTACCAGTGGGAGTTAGCTGATAATGATCAAGCCTTTGCCTTCCCTTTTGTCGACTTCCCTAAAGGCTTACCCATCAGAGTCTTAAAACCTTAAAAAGGGACATCTCAACCGCTTGGTTAGTACGTGTTGCATATAATAGATATATAGGCATTTGAACCAAAGCTAAGCTACTATCATCAATGGACATTGATCATCTGGATTGTACGTCGGAGACGCGATGATGGCGGCTTTTGTAGTTTCCAACGTTTTAGTTGTTTGACGTTTATATATACAATTTATATATATATATATATATATAAAAGGAAAATCGATTTATATAATTTAAATTTTTTTAGTTTTACATATGTTTTTAACCATTTATTTTAATAGATTCAAATGATGAAATTAAATTATTTTTTCTTATGTTTACTTGTCTCTTATCCTTTAAATCTATTAAAATCAAATGTTATAAAAATGTGTAAAACTTTTTTAATTTAATATTGTGTAAATTGATCACTCCTCTATATATATCCACAATATTAATGTAAATTTTTATTTTATTTGGTTTCATATGGGAATTATTATTATTATTTTATTACTATTAATTTATATATACATATACATATATATGTTATGACTTTTCTTTCAATGTAGTTTACTTATTTCTTAATAAAATTGGTATTTAATTTGGGGTAAGGTTTAATAATATATATGGTGAATGATCGAAGACATTTCAAATGATTTTTTTCCTCACTTGATTTTCCAGTTTTCCCTAGTTTTGTCAGTGTGCTTATTCTAGCACATGCATAAAGAGTGACGTTCTTCCGAAGTTTTATAACATCTTAATTTTATTTCTTACCCTTTCTAAAAAAAAAAAAAAAAAAATCCCAATCCAAAAATCATGTGATTTTTGGTTTACTCCCTTTTCTTTTTCTTTTACCTTCCCATATCTCGTTGTTCCTCTCGGCTTTCCTATAACATCGAGGGAATTGACAAGCACTTTTCTGGATAAATTCATAAAATTAAATAGAATAAAATAAAGGAAGAAAGGAACATGAAATTAATCAGATGCAAAATTAATACACCTGATTCTGTTTTGTCGTTTTTCCCGTTGGTCGCTTCTCTCAAATATTGACTATCCCCCGTTTTAAAAACGTAGTTCTAACGGTATTGGTTTGGCACCATGCAGATGCATATCTTTGGTTATTAATTTGCGGGCCCTCTTCTCATTACTCTTTTGTCCTTGCCACCAGTGGCTCACTTTTTTTCTATTCAGATAGAAACATTAATTTTAATGAGATCAAAAGTAATTGTAATAATAAAATTAATATTAATATTAAAAATATATTTAAATGTAAATATAATAATATCGATAAAATTGAGTATGAATAATATGTTATTCGTTTGTCCTGTAAGGTTTTAATAACTTTATATTGAGGCTGTTGACTGTTCTAGTTTCCTTTCAATTTTCAAATGGAGGTGCAATACAGTTAGAAGCCCCCAGCTGCATCATTATCAATTCTTTTCCATGTTTTTGTCTTCTTAATTTGCATGTATAATAATAATAATAATAATACTATCACCATGATCTATTAGACTTGTAGCTTCTAAGTCCTCTCCTTTTCCATGGATAAGCCGAAAAAGAAAAAAAAAAAGCTAAAACAATTATTGTAACTGATTAAACTACTAATTCAACACTTGAGAAAAATGGAAATCTGGATAATGAAGTGATATTTTAACAAACTATTAAAAAAAAAAAAAAAAAAACGCTTGGAGGTATATTAATTAAAACTTGAAAAACACGTGAAATTTGTGAAAAGTGAGGAGATTAGATCTCAATAATTTATAAATCAAAATTTAATTAGCGTAATGGGTCCAAACTATGTCAATTATATATAATAAGCAATTCCTGCAATACACATTAATACATTATCAAACTACTATTTTTAATCTTTAACCTTCAATCATTTGTTGGACTACAATTAATTAATGATATTTAATCATATAAGAAATCATTTATTCTTTATCATATATATGCTATATTTTATTTAAACCACCACAGCAACAGTCAATCAGTCTCGTCTAAAAATACCAGCTAAGAGTAGACTAATATTTTGGCCACCTATTACAAATAACAGCTCCAACGCCCCCTTGTCACACGCCGCAAGGCCGAGGCCTGAGTACCAGCGCAAGGAGGTCAGACCTTCGGCCAGGTACCAAGCCACGAGAAAAAGTCTCTGCTAGAATTGCCTGAGGTTAAGCCAAGGGATCTTGCGCCAGAAGATTCTAGAGAGCTTAGAATGATGGTGCGGGCAGTGGACATGAGAAGGCTCTAGATAAACATCACCCAGGCCAAAGGGGCGGGCATAAAATCTTCTGAAAGTGCCAAGTGCGTAACTGGGTAGAAATACTGTAACGCCCAGACGGTGAAGCGTCAGGAAGGTCCTAGGGCGTGGGCACTCTGCCAGGAGAGCCAAGAGACTTCTAGAATCAGTGCACCATAGAGTGTCTGGAACCAGCCCCTTGTTAAAATCATTGGCTCAAATCTTATAAGAGATTTATTTGAGATTTGTTAGATATTATTTAATGAACAAAAAGACTTGCAAAAGAAAAATTTTAAAAAAAAGAGAATTCTTAATAGGTAAGTTTGACTTACAAGAGAAAAATTTTAAGAGGAAATGGATTCTTAATATGCAAGTTTGACTTACAGAAAAAAAATTCTAAGAGGAGAGTGATTCTTAATGAGTAAGTTTGTATAGTTATAAATAGTTGAAGTCTCTACAGGGTTAAGTATAAGAAAAAGATGTAAGAGAGTTGTAAAGTTTTGTGGAATAGACAACTCATAATAGTATTGGGGCGTTACGTCTTATGGGTGTGTATGTTTGTTTGTGAGTGGACTAGAAGAGACTAAGAGGGTCCACATAGGTATGATGTATGGGAGCATATGGGTATGTGTTTGGTTATGTTGAAAGGGTGCACAAGGGTTTGGTTTGTGTTTGTTTGGGTAAGAATACTTCATAGGACTAAAGGAGATTGAAAGTGTCTTATGAGTATTGATTGTTGAGTGAGGTTGATGATTTGATATAAATTTATAATTCTCTACGACTAGTTGATCTTGTTTCTCATCCGTGGATATAGGTCAGTTGGACCGATCACGTTAAATTGTTATCTCTTGTGTGTTTGATTTATTGTTTGATTTTACTTCCGCTGGTGTGATTAGATTGGAAGCTTTTAGCCCAACAAATGGTATCAGAGCTGTGGTGATCCCCAACAAGTGGTATCAAAGCTAAAAGCTCAAAACGTGAGAAGAATCAAATGTTTAAAATGTGAGAAGAGCCGATGGTTTGAGATATGAAAAGAGTTGATAGTTCGAGATATGGGAAGAGCTTGGTTTAAGACATGAGAAAAAGTAAGCTTAGAGGAGCTCAATTCAAGAGAAGAGTTCGAGTTCAAGTTTTGAAGATTGAAGATCAGTTTGTATAAAGCGTGAAGACACACAAGAAAAGATGATTGTGAGACTTTTATTACAAGTAGAGCCAAGCATGTCTAGTATGAAGACAGATGATTGATGGAATTTGAGTCAAGGTGGAGATTGTTGGGAATATTGACTCAAATATCATAAGAGATTTGTTTGAGATTTGTTAGATATTGCTTGATGGATAAAAAGATTTGTAAAAGAAGAATTCTAAAAGAAAGAGGATTCTTAATAGGTAAGTTTGACTTGCAAGAGAAAAATTTTAAGAGGAAAGAGATTCTTAATAGGTAAATTTGACTTACAAGAGAAGAATTTTAAGATGAAAGAGATTCTTAATGGGCAAGTTTGTATGGTTTATAAATAGGTGAAGTCTCTACAGGGTTAGGTATGAAAAAAAATGTAAGAGAGTTATAGAGTTTTGTGGGATAAATACCGGATATGAGTATTGGGGTTCTACGTCTTATGGGTGTGTATGTTTGTTTGTGAGTGGACTAGAGGAGACCGAGAGGGTTCATATAGGTATGATATATGAGAGCATATGGGTATGTGTTTGGTTATGTTGAAAGGGTGCACAAGGGTTTGAGTTTGTATTTGTTTGGGTTAAGAATACTTCATAGGACTAGAAAAGATTGAGAGTGTATGAGTATTGATTATTGAGTGGGGTTGATGATTTAATGTAAGTTTGTAATTCTCTACAACTAGTGAATCTTGTTTCTCATCCGTGGATATAGGTCAGTTAGACCAAATCACGTTAAATTGTTGTCTCTTATGTGTTTGATTTATTATTTAATTTTACTTTTGCTGATATGATTAGATTAGAGGCTTTTAGCCCAACACACTCTTCTAAAAATTGCCAACCGACCTTGTATGTGTCTAGAGCCCTTGGAACCCTCTAAAATGTAAATGATAGTCCCACATAGGCCATGAGGGTTTATGTATAATTAGGGGTACCCCTCCCCTTAGGAACATATATGAGAGTTAATGTTCTTGTAAGTCATCCAAATACTCAAGCATTTGTGTAAAGCCACATTTGTTTCTAACAATAAAAGACTTTGTATTCTTTCCCAAATTGCTTTTTTTGTGTGCATACTTACTCAATTTTGTTAAAGATTGACTTAGGCATACTTGAACGTAAGTTTTCAATTTAAGATTACATGATTGCTAAGCTCAAGACCAAAGCAAGTAATAATTTATATCAGAGTCAGCTTTAAGAATACTAGCGATGTACCACCAAAAATGGTGAGTCCTTGTTGGAGTGAGAGAGGATGTTATGGTCTTGAAGTAAAGCCAGAAATACCACATCGATTGAATACTAAAGTTAATCTTACGATATAAAAGTTCACACCACTTCTTCTTTATGAGACACATTTTGTGGGACAAAATCATAAGATTAAAGAGATCAAAGCAGATAATATCTCACAAAAATATGAACTGTAATAAGTAAGTTGATCTAAGATATCGAAAGAGTGTATGCTTAAATCCTGAAACCGCGTAGACTTGAAAGTTGAGTCTTGGCCCATGACATTATCTTATGCTATATTTTATTTAAATTTGTTTATCTGACAGATTAGGCTGCAGCAAGCATTCTGTTCGGTGAAAGTGATAAGCAATATCAAAGTAAAAAAATTAATAAACCAAAATCAAACGTGCTAGTGCAATCAACTCTCTTTCTCTTAATTTGTTCAGAAATCAGTAGTCACAGGACGAAATGCCTCCATGGAAATGTCGGCCTTGTTCATGATCATGGTTAATTTCACGTTCGAATCTTGATCAGCTTTCCGATATATTACATACTGAAATTTTAAGATGGCGAATTGAGAGATCTGAG